TTAATAGGAAGACTATTGCTAGAATAAATATTTATACATTAGTCAAATCAAGAGAAAGAAGTCCCAACAAAACMACAACATAATAAATCAAGAGTCAATTACGAAAAGAAAAAAAATAAACAGATCTGCGAAAACCAAAGCCGTTCAGTGCTCAAGAAGAATTTCCTTAAAAAGTACAAAGATGATTCACAGTTTGTGTCCTTGTTCTCATGCTGCCTGGAACACCAATAGGGACCATGCATGAATGAAAGGCCAGAGCAACCAGATTGTACCAGACTACAGGATCCACAAAGTCTATAATTCTTCCACTTCCTGTCTGCACCAGCATCCTGCAAGGATCTGAGGCCGCCGGACCAGACTGTGGTAAAGGGTGAAGAGAGGTTAACAGAGTCAACGGGAGTGGTTTCCCTCCTTTTTGTTTGTCCCTCAGAAATGATTTTCCTCAGCTCCTCAGACAAGAAGCTCATCCGGTCAGGGCTGCACTTTGTCGTTGGTTGCTTAAAAAAAAGAAGAAGAAAGAAAAAAAAGGAGCCAGATAAACCAGGAAAACTCCAGATGTCACATGTCACTTTTAAGACTTCCCACAYTGCCTTTCAAAAACCACACAAATCATGCTGCCTGCGCTCTGAGCTGAGGTCATCTTCACCTACTTCTGATTAAAACTCTGTGAGCTGACGTGAGGAAATCCATGGAGGCTCAAACTGTCAAACAGTTCACTACATTTGTTATCCTGACAGAAGTAATCTGACACTGCAGATAAAATTAAACATACAGTCAAAAAGGATCAGTTGTATTCAAGGACGTTGACTTTTGTGATAAAATCTATTTTAAAGTATCTCCATAAAATGCAATAATAGTAATTTAACAATTCAATTAAACTATTTTGCCAAACAACTACATAATAACCTTGCTAGAAACGATCCACTCGTCTGACGCAGAACATTTGTTTCCATAGAACTCTCCTTCTGATCTCCCTTCTACCCTTTCCATCTCCTCGTCTGTTTTATATAAAAAAAAAATCCCAGAAGAATTTCTAATAAAGTTGAAATATATATCAAGTGGAGCATCTGCCGCACTTGTGAAAGTAAAACTGTTGGTCCTAACCTTGACACTCAGACATTAATTCTGAGTTTCATACTGCTGGACAGGACATGGTAAAACAACAACAACAACAACAAAAAAGAACCCTCCTCCTGTTTTTCCAGCTGAGATAAAAACTATTTATTAAACTCCAAATATTAAAAGCTAAGTTTTTACAGTTTTAATCCCCTAACTTTACATTTTCTGATCAGATGCTGTAACTGTACAAAAGAAAAGTTTCCAACCACAGAATTCTCCTCTCTGCTCTCATTTCTCTAAAATATAAAACTCTCTAAAAAGTATTTATAACTATCTATACTGAGATAGGAGCGGGTTTATTTTTAGTCTGTTCAATAAAACATCGTGTATAACTGGTGGAACGAGCAGGAAGAGAGATCAAGATGTCGGGGGGTAGTGAGGGCAGTTTTGTGAGATCACACAACAGTAAATCTTTAACAATAAAACTCATGAGTGAATGAATTTTACTGATAATGAACATGTGAATAACATACATGTTTATGATGGTATGAATAAATTATAGTTTGTTTTCCTGGTAAAACTGTCTTTTACCTCAAATTTTAGAATGTAAACAGGGATGAATGCTAATAAACTAATTTTGTATTAAAATGGAAACAAAGAGTTCAAAGTTAATAAATAAAAATATAATTGGGTTTTTATGTAGTCAAAAATAAGTTCAAAAAGTAAACAAAAGATTTTCAGCTGCAAAACACAAAACTAAAGTGACCATCTCCCATGTTTCTGTTTTTGTTAAGATTGCAGCTACATTTACACCCCTTTATGGTTTTTCTCTCATTTTGGTCAAAAACAATTTCAAGTTTTTGACTATTATTTCTTTGGTCCACTCACATCCTTCATCAGCACCAGGGACGGTGCAGCTGTCCCACAGCATGAATCCCTCTGTCCCTCTGACACGCCTTTCTGTGAGTTGTTGTTTTATGTATAGACCTAATCGTGTTGCCTATAAACAGACGGATTAAAGAAAAAATAATAATAAACAAATAAAAGATGAACTTCTTATTTAAAAGTGTGCTAGCAGTGTCACTTTGTAGGTGTCATTTTGTTTCTGTTCATTGATATAAAATGGAAACAATGGAGCACAGTTTGCTTGTTAATTCATTTTAAATGGTGCAGCTTGTTTTTTTATTTTTTACATTTTATACAGTAGTTATTCATTTTAAGCAGTGAAACTTTTCTCCAATGTTTGACTGTTTACTTTAGGTGGCACAGCTTCTCTCACTTTTAGAATGCCTCATGCAAAAACCGTTCGTACGCACAGATTTGTTCTTAAGTTGTGCGTACGAGTGATTTAGGAGAATTTGTGGCATTCACCAATGTTTTCGTATTCTACGATTTTTTTCAGATACGAACAAAATTCACGAGTGGTCCAGACCTGTCGTATATTTTATGTGCAGTCAGTCTGCTGTTATCCAGACGAGTTTTCTTCATTAATAACTTTATATTTTGTTAGTTTGAAGATATTTTGAGTTGAAAATAAATCACACTCCATAATTATGTTGACAATAGGCTATTCTGCTTGAATTAGAGTTATAATTTTAAATGTAATAATTTAGAATAACAATAAATTGTCCATCCATCCATTTTCTGCCGCTTAACTGGGATCGGGTCGCGGGGGCAGCAGCAGAGAGACCCAGACTTCCCTCTCCCCGGCGACACTTTCCAGCTCGTCCTGGGGGACTCTGAGACGTTCCCAGGCCAGAGGGGATACATAATCCCTCCAGCGAGTCCTGGATTTTCTCCAAAGTGCCAGACTTATTTTGAAAACATTTTAAAATGCTTATTTCAGAACGCAACTAAGACCACTAGAGACTGCGCGGGGGGGCATACGGTGCGCGACGGTGTGTCTTCTGAATAAATGAAAATGATTTAACACAGTTGTTTATACTTTTAGCAGCTCTTTTTATTCCACAGCTGACCTGCTAAAAATGACAGATTTTCTTTTCTGGATCTCTGACAGACGGACTTCAATCTCTGAACTCGTAAAGTTCTTCTTTTTAATTATCGCTGCCATTTTCATGAATGAACACTTCCTTGTATCTGAGGCAGGAAACACAGCCTTATAYGGTGTTTTTGGGGTGGTAATTATGCTAATCTCCTCTCGTGTGCACGAGCAGCTGAATACGAACAGGTGGAATTTACGCAGCTCATTTACACACTTTTCCTGAAGATAGAAGAGTTTGTTGAATCTAACGTGACATGTTCGTACGAACCCTTTGTATGAACAAAAGTAAGAGAAATTTAGGATAAGAATACGAACATGTTTTTGCATGAGGCCCATTGTTTTAGGCGGTGAAACCTTTCTAATGTTTACAGTAATTTCTAATCAGTTTTTTTTCTTCACTTTCTCATTTTGGAGAGAATCTGCCAGCTGACAGAGACATACAGGCCTGAGAAAATATATCCCACATAACAAACAGGCGTGTTTGTCAAATTGGCACAACATGGCAGGTGGTTTGTCGACCAGATGTGGGCCAGGTCTTGCAATGATGGCACTGTTTTTAAGATGGCATGCCACAACTGGCCTAGTTGTGGTTTGGTTTATGTGCTGGCCCAGATCTGGCCCACCTCTGACAAATCAAATCTGGGCCACCAAAGGGCCGTTATTCTTTGTTGTATCATAGTGCATTGTGTGGGCCAGAGCTGGGCCAGATAATTTTTCTATGTGGGCAATTGTGTAAAAACAACCCTAGAATTTAAAAGTAAGCTATAATCTGGACTTTTCCCAGGAAAAAAAATGCTTTTTTTGGGCAGCTCTTGCAGAGGATTAATTAACAAAACCAATGACTAACATAGCTGTTCTCACAGCTATGTTACAAAACTGACCTATTTACATGTGTTTCCGGAGATGATCTAAGTGTTAATATTTCAGGCGTGACAACACTTCAGAATAGGWTTATGCGTACTGTATGTGTGCATGAGCTGCTCAGGATGACTCATGCAGAATGAGTAGGCTTCCTCTATATGATGCAAAGGAAAGATTTAAACATCTAACAGCAACAACAAACAATGCACAGGCATGGACGTGATTCATGCAGGCCAACAAGAGGAAAAACAAAAACAAAAGGTGACTGAACACACACACAAACACACACAATGAGACGGTGCAAATGAGATGAGACAAGCTATGGGGTGGGGGTGGGGGGTGGGGGCAGAGGTTTCTGTCCTGATTCTTGCTAGACTCACACGGTCCACAGACTTTGTTCTGAGCTCCACACGCATCTCCTCACAAGCTCATCTGAATCACCCACAGGCAGCAGCTCGCCATTTGAATTTCACATTTTCACACTACGTCTATTAATAGCCCAACTCCCTCCCTCTCTTCGTCTTGTGCTGCTCTCGCCTGCTGCCTCATTGTGTTTTTACCCCCCCACCCCCTCGCTCTAGTCTCTGTTGTATCATATTCCATGCAGGGACGTGAACAATGACAGTCTCCTGCCTGTTAACGTCAGCAGAAAAACAGATTGCACAAACATGCGCACGCAATCTGGCATTTGCGTAAAGCAGCCAGACGTGTCGAGGCTGATATTTATGCAGCGTGTGAACCGCTGCCTGAAGATTAAATCAGAACAGAGCTGAGGCTTGAAATGATAATAGATTTGTTTTTTGTTTGTTTGTTTTTTAGATGGAAAGCTTCAAATGGGCCACATGTTGCTGTAGGTTTTACCCCATTTATCTGGCATCAAATCAAAGCTACTGAAAACATGTTTAAATCATATCTGTTACATAAAAAAGTATTAAAGTCCATTAGAGCATCCCTGGCCTCTAACATGTAAAGGGTTAGCTTACAATGTCAATTTTGGAGTTTAGGAGGACCTCACGTTAGTGCAAAGTACAACACAGCAATAACAACAAATTCATTCAAAAACAAAGAAATCAACAGCCAGAGAGGCAAACCTTTAGTTACATATTCACATTTTGCAAGTATTACCTAACACATAGATATGAAGGGTGAAAAAAACCTGTGAGGATTTAAAACAAAATTGTTTGAGTATCATCACTAAGCTGTGTGTTAAAACGTCCACGTTTCAGTGGGGGACAGGGTTACTTTATGTGGGTAACATCTTACTTGAAGCACTTCTGGTCTTTTGATTGAACGAGCACATGTTTATTTACAGGCAAACCGCACAGCTGGGATATTTTAATGGGCGTAAATGATGCATGTGGGTCATCTTACATGATGCTGATTGATAAGTCTTCAAGTAAAATGTGACCCTTAAAGTGCCTGGTTGTTGATCCTGCTGGACCCAGGGGAGGAAACCGTTGAGGACAGTGGCTGTGATCCCCCCCACACACCCCTCCTTCCACCACCACTATAAAACTAAAAGGGCTCGTCGTCTTTGGATTATAAACAAGCGGGATTATCCTCCGTACACATATTTTTTTGAAACCACCTGAGAAATGGAGAAGAGTGGATAAATAATCTGAAACTTCTCTGCCTCTCACACAGCAGTTCCCTGTGGTTCAGCAGGATCACAACTTTATTGTGCCACGTATTGGACAAAAAAACACGAAAACTATTGTTCCTCCGTGCTCAGGAGTGGTGAATATCTTTAAGATGGAATTGAGGAGAAAAAAAAACACAAATAAAAACAAGAAACGTAAAGAATGCACAGACAGATATGTTGGTAAAAAGTATTGTGCTTTTGGCTCTTCTGTGTACAATAAGAGCTCCTGCATGGATAATCTGTGTATTTATATGCACTTTGGGCTCGCAGCAGAGCTATTCCATAAAGATATTTAATATAACGCAGGTAAAAACACCACAACCTAAACCTGTGAGTATGATATAAAGTGCAATGTGAGGGCATTTAGGCTGAGTGAGCCTCAATGGTCTCTGTGTGTTTTCTCTTTTGTGACACTTGCACAAATGCTTTGTGTGTTTATGTGTGTGCCCTGTTCTGTGTATGATCCGTTAGCAAACCAGTTTACCTAGATTTCCTCTGTGTGCTTTGAAATTAAGGATAATTTTTTAAAATTTTTTTTGCCACTTGACATGAATTCAAAGAGCATTACAAAACAATAAAACACTAGAAACAAACAAAAAAAAAAAAAGAAAAGAAAAAGGCGTAAAAAGAAACCCTCAGATGAAAAGTGCCAAAGCGAGTTGAAATTCCTTGGATCGAAACGCCATCCCCGTTCCTACTCCAGCCCTACAGAGGGTTATTTCATCCTCGCAGATAAGGCCAACTTGATTTTTCCGTGAGTTTCCTTTTCATTCAGAATTATTCTACACATGAAGAGAGTCTTAAAAGGATTGCTGCGTCCTGTCAGTGTACTGAGAAACACCTCCACGTTTTGAGGGTCCACGGACCAGTTTTTCCACAGAAATGACAGCATGATTAATGTAAAGTCGGCTCTTTTTTAAAATGAGATTTCATCCTCGGAGCCACGAAGTCCACTTTGATTGCTGAGACTAGTTGGGGCTGAACATATTTAAGCTAGAAGGTGTATATTTACATACAACCTGTGTGTATTTACATCAGAGTCCTCCATCGATGCGGTGGGTCGTATGTTCTGCTAAGTGCTGCTCATGCCTCAGACGCACGAGTCCCAACTTTTAGAGGACCGATGGGCGGGCTTGACTAATTTGGTTGGATTTGTCACGTCTACATTACGTTTCCTAGAGGTGTTATAGAGGGGCTGCAGAGGATGAGGATGGTGGGATGTCGGTGAGGATTTTCAGGGGTGAGCGGAGAAGCACAGATGCAAGAGTAAGAGGAGATTTTGGAGATCGTATTGTAAAAGTACAGCTGCAGTCTGAGATCTGTGATCCGCCTCCCTCTCACCTCCACCCACACAGCTTTCTGTCCTTCCAGCCAAATATTTGCTTTTATCTGCATCTGTTTGTGAATGAGCGACCCAAACAAAGGGGGACGTGGATGATGAGATTCTAGTTGACATATCCCGATCGTTTTTACTCAGACGGATCCATTTTTCAGTTGTCTTGTCTTCTTTTGCCCTCCTGATCGGTGTTTCCTCCCCCACCCTTTCCTTCCCTCCCCCCGTCCTTCTCCTTTAGGGTCTACATCACACTGCATTTGCCCTTCAGTCTCTCAGYGCGGGACTGCTTCCCGGAGCGCTTGCCGTCAATGTTGAGGCTCATGTTTCTCTTCTTGTCCAGGTTGAGGAGCTCCTGAAAGAGCTCCGTCACGTTGTGGTTGGTCTTGGCCGACGTCTCCATGAAGGCGCACTTCCACTGGTTGGCCTGGGCCTCCCCGTCCTTGGTCTCCACCTCCCGGTGGGTTTCGTCACTCTTGTTTCCCACCAGCATGATGGGGATGGACTCCACGTTGCCTTTTATGGCCAGAATCTGAAGAGGGCAGGGAAAGCAATAAGAGAAGTTGCTAATTTTGTTAAATAAAGGTGAAGAAATTTATTAGTTAGTTAGATACTGATTTGAAGCACCACACCATTTGTCTTAGTTTCCTTTTTAAGGCTTGACTTTTATGATCTATTGTTATGTCTTGATTAAAATAGGTTTAGTTACATGCCCGAAGCACCTTGACAACACATAATGAACCGTTAAAGGGGACCTGTTATGCAAAATCCACTTTTTAAAGGTTTTTTTTTTTTTACTAAACTTTGGGTATGTACTTCTTAAAAAACAGTCCTAGAACCAAAAAAAATGCACCCAGGGGCATTTTTACTGTAAGTAAATGTATTTTTAATGTGTATTAATGACAAGTTTTATACTTCCGTCATTTTGTGATGTCTCAAGCCGTACGACAACCCACCGGAACCTGCGTTCAGCCCCTTACCTAGCAACCCCCGGGTGAGGCTCCACCTCCTCAGTATAAAGATCCATCATGGTTGCTGTGCAATGCACAGCTCATTTCACAACAAGCCTCCAATAGGGCAATGGGTAGAGCGTTGGACCAAAGAGTGGGAGACCAGCGTTTGAGACTGGCATGGACGCAATTTAATTATTTATTTATTTTCGTTCGTTATGAACACGTTTTCTCATGTGCCTCTATTGTTTAGCTTATTAAAGCCTTGTTAAAGCCTATTTGTTCTAGTTTCTGAGGTATTTTGACCGCTGCTGCTCCCTGCTCTGGTAACAGAGCGCAGAGCAGAGGAGGGGGAGGGAAAAAAAAGAAGCTGCGACCGACTCTGCCTCTGGGTCTCATATGGTTGTACAACGGAGCTTCTGCTATTATTAGCCATGCTAACGTAAACACTGGCTTTGGAGGGCGGAGTTAATGTCAACAGATTTTTGGAGGGCGTTACCAACAGAGCTCATTAACATAAACAGCTCTTCTGAACAGAGAAGAGCAGGCAGAACTAGAAAATGGGAAATTTTATTATCTGAGAATTATTTTGTGCATTMWAYWRAATGAACATGGTCTGGATAGCCCACAGACATCCCATAAAAATTTCTAGGACCCATAATTGGTCTCTTTTAATAAAAACATTAGGTGAGCATTGCTGTTCAGAGTGCCTGTGATTTCAACCGTAGGCCTGTAGTGGGCGTTCCAGGTACTGAAGATCCCTGTATGTATAGACCAGAACTTACGGTTTTGGACAGCACTGCTTTGCTTGCTTCAGCCGTAAGCAATAAAAGCTTAGCTCAGAACCAGATCTGGGGTTGTATGGTTCCATTCCCTTCACGTTTTAATCTAATTAACATTCCTGTGCTTTCATCACGATTTCAGTTAAAGAACACAAAATTTTCTTACAAAGGTTTACTTGAAAATTTAACTGCAGTTAAGGCAAATGCATCTTTATTCTTGAAAACAGTCAAAGCTAGACTTTAATCTAATAAAAATGTTAAACTTTGGATGGTAGCTCTGAAAAGTCAACATCTTGACAATGTTTGCTTGCAAACAGAGTTAAAATGAGGTGTGTGAGGTTTCTTCAATTTAAAACTAAATTTGTTTCCAAATCTTTACTATTTAACCACATACTAATTTATTTATCATCTTGCACCAAAAGTAACTTAGAAAATACAAAAAAAAAGGCTGCTATTTGGTCATCTTTACTAATTTTGACCTATAATTTGGAGAAGTAGTAGCTGAGTCATCCCCAAATTTTACTCCAAGAAGCTTCTGAGTAATCTATAATCTGTTTTTAGAACGTTACTATTAACTATTTATTATTAGTCAACTCTGCCTGTCAGTTAGCAAAATATTGTTAACAGTAAATGTTAGCAATATAACCCTAACATTAGCCCAGACGCTATCACCATATATATGTATAGCTCAGCGCTACACATTCTCCTCTCATCACTGAGGTCCTCCATCCACATGACAGAGAGGGGAACACAAAAATGACTCAGCCTGCAACTGAAAATATGGATGGAGGACCTCAGTTTAGCTTGTTTGTCGTGCTAGCACCAAGCTAATACAAATAAAGCAATATAGCGTTGGTGCTAGCGCAAAGGCTAACAGGCTAAGTTGAGGTTCTTCTTCCATGAAGCAGCTCTGTTGTCCTCCATCCATATTTTCAGTTCCAGGCTGAGTCATTTCTACCTTCTCCTCTCTGTCAACGCTCTCTGGTTTCATTTAAAAGAGTCGATCATCAGATATTGTCCAAGATTAACCTTCAGGGTGGATATAGCTCGCTCACACCGAGGACCTATCCATGTCATTATTTACCCAGAATGCTTTGCGTGTAAATAAAATGGCTCCGTCCGTGTTAAAATATATTTTTAAAAATTTACAAAACTAAACCCTACAGTATTATTACAGTCTTTACTTTACAGTTAAAATAAATGTTTATCAAATAAAGTCTAATGTTACAACTAATCATGGATCCCTTTAAAGAGACAGAGGCCATTTTCAAAGCATTTAGATAGACTATCATGCGGTCAAATTTATTTTTGATTTATGCAGTGTTTTGATAACAACCGAAAGTAACATAGTCACTTTATTGTGGTGTGAAATTAAACTATGTGCCTGGACAATACATAATACCCCACCTGTAAAATTTAATGTTGGTAGATGAGAGTCTATCTTAACACAAACTCTGAGAGCAAACATATTTCACAAGATCTTCACTAACAAGGTTTTACCAAAACTGCCTGTGTTCTGATCATAGAATGATGAATCTAGTTTAAAATGTTCACAAAATCCAGTGGGTGACACTGTATGCAACTTTTCAAGGACTGCTGGGTCTTTAACTGAGTTAACTCCCACCTGTTGATAAATGGGCTTGAGCTCCTCCAGGGACTGCTTGCTTGTGATGGAGTAGACCAGGATGAAGGCGTGGCCCTTGGAGATGGACAGACGCTGCATGGCCGGGAACTGGTGACTGCCCGTCGTGTCTGTGATCTGCAGCGTGCACACGCTCTTGTCACAGCTGATCACCTGTCGGTAGGTGTCCTCCACCGTGGGGATGTAGGTGTCCCTGAAGGTGCCCTTAACGAAGCGCAGAACCAGGGAGCTCTTCCCCACTCCTCCAGCCCCGAACACCACCACGCGGTAGTCGTTGCTCTGCTCCGGCATTCCGGCCCCTCAGTTTTGAGACAGTGTTACACCTGGAATATAGAAACGTGACAGTTCTGATGAGAGGAGAGTCAAGTTCACGCAAGCATTAGCTTCTCTTTACTGGTTACATGTCAAATTCAGAATAGAATTAGAATCTTACTTCTAACATAGAAATTTCTTAGCAATCAAGCTCCATCTGATATATTAAAAGATCTTGTTGTTCCACATTTTCCTAAAGAAAACCATTTCTCTCACACTGCAGGTTTACTTGTAATTCCTAGAGTTTAGGCAAATGGGAGAGCTAGCTGCAATCTGCTGGCTTTCTCAGATGAACAACTTTTTAGTTGGCATTTCTAAAATGTGGTAATGGAATGTACTGTTTTTATATTGGGTTATACTAGTTGATATTCTGCATTCACATTGATGTTTTCTAGAGTTTTTTTAAATTTTCCAAATTTCTTTTTGCAATCTAACTAATTCAGCATTCGTTGCAGTATTTAGTCATTCATATATTAGCTCATTCAGAAAAAGAGTATTTGATTTTACTTTTGTGTGACTTTTATATTTTTAAATAATATTTTCTCAATAAAAATACAGTACACAAACCTACATACATACATACTGTATGTTCCTTCAAAAACATGATTCTTAAATTTACTTCAGCAAACTGGTTCTATTTTTGTCTTCTTATGCTTTTTATAGTTTTAAAATTATCTGCCAATCTGCTACAACTGTTAGTGTTGAACTATTAGCTTTTAGCTAGGGTTTTTTTTTTTTAACTTTTTTTTTACTTTTAGCTTTAAGCTAACATTTAGCTCCTTTTAAGTTTTGGCCAGTTGTTTTGTACTTTTAGCTTTTAATTACTCAGAAATTTGCAACATATCACTTTAGTAAGTGTGTTGCTTTTAGCTTGCATTTTGCCTTTTTTTTGGCTAGGGGTCTACTTATTTCTTAAACAACTCAGGTTTAGCTTCCTTACCATTTACATTTTGCAAAATGCAGTTGGTCTAATCTTCGTGTTTAGTGCCATCAGATGGCTTTTGTTTTGTTTTGGACCCACATCAGTAAACACAATTGATGTAGAATTGAATTGTGGGGTAAACAGGTTGAGGGAAAACATTAAAGCTTACAAAGCAAAAGAAGGAACAGAGAAGCTGAACTCACCCTCAGGCCGCTGGGTTTTTAATAATTTTATCAGTCAGATTATGAGCCAGAGCACAAATTAGAAGGAATGAGTTTGGTGAGCCTCCATGTATTTTTGCCTGACGCAGACATTTTTAAAATCAATGTACTTTACAGTGTTCCAGTCTCTCAGGGTCATCCTCCGAACATTCCTGCAGTTCATCATTTATTAACTAAAGAAAACCTTGAAGGAGACAAACAAAAGCTCAGGAGAATAATCTTCACTTGTGCCGAGGTCACAAAACCGTGAAAAATAGCACAATCCAATTTATAAAACCTTTGGAAGGGAGTCACAACTTAAAAACATTAAGCTTTTATAAAAATAATATCCAATATCACTTTGTTGTACTTTCACTCTGATTTGATCCACTCAGCTAAAAAAGAAAGAAAGAAAAAAGAAAAAAGTTTAAAAGTATTGGCTTTAAGCCATTTTTTAGATCAAGATATTTCTGAATTATTTGAAGGAAACACCACAAAAAGATGGGATAAAAGAATCTTTGAAGCTGATTATGTCTTTAAGATCTGGTTTGAAACAAAATAGAAAGTTTGAGTCAAAATCCAACTCAATACAAGGAATGCATATCGCCTGACAACTTGTCCAGTGACAATTTTTTTTTAATTAAAATTTGTTCTTTGGTTAAATTTTGCTAAATGAATCTGCCCTGACAAACTAGTTATTGACACTTGTTTTTTAATAAAGAAGGAAAAGAAAGAGAAAAAAGTTAAATGTAATGGGAAAGAGTGAAAGAGAGATTAGAAGATATGTGAAATATATATCGAGAAAACACAAGACAACACACCCGACATATAGGGGTGCAACGATACAAAAAATTCACGGTTCGGTTTGGTTCATATTTTAGTCTCACGGTTCGATATTTTTTCGATACAAAAAAAGAGAAATTTCCATGCCCCCTTTAACTTGTAATTTATTAATATTAATTATAAACATTTGTTTAACCTCAAAAGTTGTGAGGATTTCACAGTCACATCCCTGATTGGTTCTGGCAGCTAACAGGCAGCAGCTGGTGGCAATCTCCTTGATGAGCCACTGGGCTTTATAAGGCTTCCTCTGAGGACACAACGACGCTGGAACATATCATACACTTGGGTATGGTTCTGAGCCACCTCTAGAGTTCATTTCTCTGAGTTAAACTAATGTGTGTTTCTCTTGTGATCTTCTCCAGTTGGACCCTTTGTGGATTTTACCCCTCGTGGATTTTTACTGTGTGCTCCTCTGCTCATACGCCTGCCTGCCTGCCTACCTCAAATGCTGACCATCTCCTCCAAGAGCCTAAACAATCATCATCTGTAAATACTCACCTGACTCATCGTGCACTCCTGGACTTCCCTCTCCTCCACTCCTCGTGTTCTTCTCCAAACCGTAAGCTACAAAACAAACATCAAGATAAATCTTATTCTCAAGCTACTCAACCTGCAACTAATTCAACTCCTTCCTGTCATCAACAGTGAAACCCTGGACCTACCCTTTTCCCCTCCACTTGTAAATAAACATTCACTATTTTGTATTTCTGGTCTCCTGAGTCTGATTACTTTCTGGTTGCACATTCTTGACAATTTGTTAAACCCTGATAAAAGTGCAGTTTTTAAATTGAATGTTGCTGAAACAGCAAGTTTCTCAGTGGATCAAATGTTCATAATTAATATAAATAAATTACAAGTTAAAAGGGGCATGGAAATTTCTCTTTTTTTGTATCGAAAAAATATCAAACCGTGAGACTAAAGTATCGAACCGAACCGTGAATTTCCTGTATCGTTGCAGCCCTAATATATACCCATAACATACCCATACCTACATACATATACACACATATATATACATATACACATATGCATTTATATCTATACATACACATATTCACATACCATTCAATCAGTGTCCGAACAGAAAACCCAGGATGTAAACACCTGTTTGTGTGCGGTTGTGAGCATGCATGAATACACAAGATCTTCTCCAATGGAATGTTTCAAAGTGACTGTGGAGGACCACAGACACGACCCGTAAAGCCCAAAGCTGACATAAGGGAGACCAGCGCCAAAGACCCCGAGAGAGACCCCAAGCGCAGAGCCCCCAGAGACACCTGTGCCGGAGAGATGCCCACCCACCCCACAAAGGGGACCACAGGAGAGAACCGGGAGAGCCCCACCTGTGACCACACACAGTAACTCCTGGGGCCAGCAGTGACGAGCTCACAGGCCCCGCCGGTACCCACCACACCAGAGCAGATCTAGGCATGGACACAGAGGCCCGGGCCCCCAGGGTGCACCCCCTCCCCCGACAGGGCCAGAGGGACCCAAGCCCCACCGGGCCGAGCCGGCACATGCCCAAGCACCCAGCCCCAGACAACGAGAACCACCAGCGTGCCGGCGGGCAAAGGCACAACCCACCAGAGGACAGCACAGCAGGGGAGCAATGGGCCCTCAAATGATCATGAAGAAGGGGCCGCCCAAGTCCCAGCCTGACAAAAATACAAGCATACACAAACCCAATCACACAGTCCCACCCTCATTCTCTCAGCCACTCATTCCAGACACACAGGATGGTCGCCACAATCCACATACATCCTCTATACCCCCCAGGTCCAGGATATGCACCAGCCCCCTATAGAGGGCAGCTCACATCCGAACCCAGGAGGTAGACCCCCTCAATCTGGGTGGAGAGGAGCAGGCAGCCAAGTCTTGGCCCGAGCCGCACCAGGTTGACTGGCCAGTCCCCCGCCCCAGCAAAGCCACGCCCCGGACCACCCCCACACACCACCAGCGGCCAAGCGCTCACCCCCAACCGACCACCCCTTGGACTCCAGCAGCCACCCCAGCCAGCAGGCCGACCACAGCAACCAGGAGCCAGACCCCGGGAGCCCGAACACCCCCAGGGAAGCCGGAGTGCCAGCCACACCCCCGGCACCCCTCCAAGCCCCAAGCCCACCTGCAGCCCAGGCCCCACGAGACGGTCTGCCCCTCCTCTGGACCCCATCCCCAGAGGGCCAACGAGGAACGGGGGAGTGAAAAAAGACCCCAACACACACACCCAACCTCAGATGTGCTGTTGGTGTGTGTTGTTCTATGCAATTATGCATTATAGTTAGTTATAGTTAGTTATAGTTATAGTTAGTTAAAGTTGTAGTTAGTTATAATTACAGTTAGTTATAATTACAGTTAGTTATAGTTATAGTTAGTTAAAGTTGTAGTTAGTTATAATTACAGTTAGTTATAGTTATAGTTAGTTATAGTTATAGTTAGTTATTGCCGCTTCTGAAAGGTAAAACTCAGGCAAAAATGCTTTTAACCTAAGTTTGTGTGTCTGTTAGCAAAATACTGAATGTCATGACTCGCTGGAGGGATTTCCACTGAAATCAAAGAGGACTCATTAGAAATAAAGCTAACTGATTTCATTTGAGAGTCAGTGTGGTTCAAGATGGATGCCAAGCCAATTGACCCAAAACACAAAAGTAGCTTAAACTTTGTGAATTTCACAGATACTGGTTTAGGAATGCTAGGCCTTTATTTGAACCAATGTAACACAAATACATACATACATTAAAGCACACAGGATTTCTACAGTAAGGATTTAAAAATAAGAGCATTAACCTGCCTGCTGTTGGAGTGTGTGGTTCTTTGTGTCTGACCTGCTCCCTGAGCTCCTGCCTGCTGTTTCCCTCTTTGTCTCCTCTGCTCTTCCTCCCCGGGTCACTGTGCTGTCAGATCAATAAACTAAAGCTTCTGTGGTTTTAATCAATGGATTGTGTCTCTCCAGGTGCTGACAGTCTGTCTCTTGGAACCTTTTCTTTAATTATTATTTATTTTGGCCGTTGATTTTAGCTTCTGCCCATCAAAAACCTTACTCTGCCCGCCCCCCCGCCCCTTCTTCCACCTGAGCTGTTCACTCTCTCTCTCTCTCTCTCTCTCTCTCTCTCTCTCTCTCTCTCTCTCTCTCTCTCCTGCACACACAGGTGACACACATACTGCCCTTCCACTCCGTCACTGTTTGTCCTTGACACCAGGGTTTTAAGATTAATGACCCTTCTCCACAACGTAAGCTATCTCTCCACATTTTGTCTCCTCTTTTTGTGCTTTACTATCGCCCAACACTGATGGCGAATGCGGCAAAATAATAGTTTTTTTTGCCCATGTCTTTGATTGATTGAGATGACTTGTGCTGCTGCCAAAATATTTCATTAACTTCCAGAAAGTTATCATCATCGGTTTGATTTCTACAACTGAATGCATTTTGGAGTCACCTCCTTTCAAGATGGCCGCCACAGCCAACTGATCCTAGTAAACACAGGTGGCTGTAACTCTGGCAGTTTTGAAAATATATTGGCTGTGTCCATATTCAGGGGCTGCATCCTTCGAAGGATCCGGACCACTCAGTCAACATAAGACTGGGTTCTTTGTCGATCACAAAGACTGTAAGGAAGTGGCTGCAAATATGGACAATCTAGCCTTCAGCTTTTGTCCCAGCATTACCCCCAGCATATGTCCTGTCGCATATAGCCACCATGACAATGCTAAACAAAAGATAGAGATTAGCAAAATATTTACGTAGCTAAGCGGCAAATGAAAAACTAAGGGTGCCACCATACGAGCTCATTTACAATGATTTCTGACAAGAATAACATTAAAAAGACATGTCCATGTGAATGATAAAAGCCTGACAACACAACCGCTTCAAACTTTCTGATGGATGGATTTTAATGAAACTCTCAAAAAAAATCATTATGAATTTTACATCAATTACCCAACCAGCCAAAATGATTGCCACAGTCTACACAAGAGGGGTTATAAATTTGTGAGTTTTACAAATATTAAGCTATGACTGGGTGGTATAGTGACTAAGAGTCAGCCCCAACACACATTCTGAGCATTAAGTAATCGGTATGACAGGATCCCAGGAGACACAACAAAATGAAATTTTCCAAATTTAACAAAAATAGATTTTGATGTGACATCAGGTGTTTGTGTTACAAGTCTCTCTTGCAAATGAGAGGAGATGAGTTATCTAAATAACAGTAAAGAAAAAATTAATGAATGGCAGCGGGCTATGTGCATTCTACATATATATTAGGGGTGCAGCAATACATGTACCCGTATCGAACCGTATCGAACAGTGCTGTATCGAAGAATACAGATTAAAAAAATTTACTTTATCAACTTGTCTTCTGAAGATGCTCAGTGTTAAAGGATCAGTGGATCTGTGTTCGACTTCTCCACCTAGGCTGCATTTTTGAGTGCAGATCCACTGAGAAACTTGCTGTTTCAGCAATATTTAATTTAAAAACTGTACGGTTAAACAAATGTTCACAATTAATATACTGTAAATAAATTACAAGTTAACAAGGGTATGGAAATTTTGCTTTTTTGTATTGAAAAAATATTGAACCATGAATTTCCTGTGTCGTTGAACCCCTTAAAAGCCTGAATTTTGCCTGAAACTCTCAGACTGAAGAAGTCTCTTGGAGGAGAGACGAAACGTTTCATTAGAGAAGAACCCATCCAGAAGACCTATACAACTTTTTTTTGACACACAGAAACATTTCCAGTATGCTTCTGTCAGTTCGCACATTTATTCTCCTGAAGCTTTGCGTCATCTTGTCTATAAAACCTTAAAACTACTGGACAGTCACAAACATACAGACTCACCAGATGCCCCGGTTTTTTTTCACACACTCTTGCACAGCTGAATAGAGAACCATTCGCCAATTCCTGATTAATTTGTTTGTCCGTTTACTCAAACACATGAAAAATTCAATTAATTTTGTAAAGTGGAACAATGCTGGGCCTAATCAAAATAAATGAATTCACAAACCCGTATCATTGGTATTTATTACAAAAACACATTTCTTCATTTGCTTTCATGCATTGGAAATATCCACTGGCTGACCTGTTCTCATACTAATTTAAGCTCGGCTTAGTTGTGCTGGTGTATTATATACAAGGAAAAATACTTCAGCTTTGATGCTACATATAGAAAAGTCCTGTTATCCTCAGGTCAAAAGTAGGGCAATACAGTATGTATAATTGAACATTATGGTTTATGGGTTATGTTTTAGGTGATCTATTATCTTATTTTTAGCATTTCATGATAAATGAGTTTAAGCATAAACACAGGTCTTCTAGGTTGTTTTGTGATTTTTTAAATTCATTTGTTTATTTCATTAAAACATTTCACACAACAAAACAATACAAATAAAATAAAATGAAAGGCAGCAGAAGAAGAATGAAAATTCTTACGATATCTGCTCCTTTTAAAAAAATATTTCAACAAAGATAAACCA